ACAGGCCTCTCTCATCTTTTTAAGTGGGAGAACTTGCACAATTGGTGGCTAACTAAATACTATATTGGCCCACTGTATGTTTGCTGCTTGCTTCTGTTAGAGAGGATTGTATGTAATGACATTCTGCAAATTTAAGCATCACTAAGTTCAATGAGACCTACGTATTACTACTCCAGATTAACTATGGATAGGCATGCAGACCAAACATGAGCAAATGCAGGTGTTCCTAAGGATCACACAATGCTGAAATGGAAGTATTTATTGAAAAACATCATGTTGCTTTTCAAAATTTACCTATTGTGGTTTCGCAGAACTTCTCTGCAGCCACCTCATTGGCAATGTTTGCTCCCATCAACACACTGATATCTATCCCAATTTTCTCTCGAATTACATCAGAGATGAGTTTGAGTCCCTCAGGGCCTTCATCTATTCCCTGCAGGAAACACAGAAAGGCAACAATTACAATCAATAATCGCTTTTGGAAAGAAAATGGAGACAATAGTTTTTGCGGACAGACTTTACAATGGCATATGTACAGCATACAGAATTGTCTAATCTTCACTGGTGCAGTGTATCTGCTCTGCTACAGTGTTATAATCAGACATGACACATTTTAAGCATACTTTTTTGGAATTTAGATCCTGATCCAAATACATTTCTGCCCTGTATTAAATCAACATTTAGCATTTCTTCATTTCAACATCTTCCACATGTAGAAAAATCACTATTTTTAAATATTTATTTATCAAATTTGTCACCGCCCATCTCATTCAATGACTATTCAAAAACAAGGTGGAATGTTCTGCATTACTCTACTAGAACACCATAGCTGACAAAAGTATAGCTGTTTCTGAACCTGCCCAATTTTTCAGTCAGGGCTTCCATTAAAATCTAGTTAAAAGGAGCAAAACATCAAAAAGGAAAATATTTTCCAAATTATTTGTATCAGCTAAAAAACAGAGGAGGGAACAACTACAACTCGTTTTTGAACCAATCTTCCCTCTCCCCAAGCCCATTTATATAGTTTCTGAAATCAATACAGTAGTCATCACCACCACATAATAAAAACCAGATCTAAAGAAGCCTGTAGAACAACTGAAATGTAGAGGTATACAATCTTTAGGACTTATAGGGGCATATAGGGCCTCTGAAAGCCATGGCTCCAGAAACTTCAAGAAGTTACTACCAAACTAATTTTTTAACATGATAAAAAGGAAATATTCTTAAATATATAATTGAGAATAGTCATACTGAATATATTTAGTTTTAATTAAATTTAAAATGTACACAACATTATATCTAATTTAGTTTTTGCTTTGCTGCACCAATTATTTATCAGAGTTTACACCACCCATTCCATTTAAGGCTGAGTGGAAGTCTCTGATCAGAGAAAAATTGTGCACTCCCCATGTACTAGGAGTGGGGTGGGAGCCAATTTTCTCTTTCTGTGGTAGCTTCTCATGTCTCAAGGGAGACTCAGAAACACAAAACTTCCAATTTGGGACATGAGCTGATTGTTTTCTTTAAAAGCTGTTTAGGATTCAGTGCTGATGATGAGGGTAAAACAAGTTCACATATACACTGAAGAAGTAGCTGATGATTTCTACATGTAGCTCCAAAACTGAAACCAAATTAAACTAGATATGTCTGTCTTGGGTCCCCCAGGCTGAAGTCAGTTAGCTAAGCAACATTAAAGTTGTAAATCCAGCAGGAGATGTATACAGCGCAAGCCCAAAGGCAATAAGGTTCATACCAGTAGCCCTAGTGCATTGGGCAAGGGAGCATTCATTGTCTAAGTCAAAGGAAAGCCAAACTTTCCAAGAAAATGTACAGTGAGAACTAAATACAGGACAGTTCACAGCAAAGCATGTGGCATTGAAGGTTTGGCTGTCAGAGACAGCTGTTCCAATAACAAACTGCATTCAGGTGGGAATGTTAGTTCAGGAATCTCTCAGCCTCCTCCTGAGCAGAGCTTGGATTGATATATCCTGATTTCCAGCACCATATATTCCTGTTCCTGAATATATTCTACCTTCTGTTCTCCATGCTTGGAGATGGCAGCCCTTCCATGCTTCTATGGGCTGGGTGAGTGAGACTGCAGTTCATGGTCTGAATCACAAGGGCCAAGAAGGTGTAATTCCTGATGCTATCATTGACACCTCATCACCAGGACTCCGAGATTTATATTTCTATAGAATTCTTTCTATGCACCCTATTGAACAGTTGTTTAATAATTATACAGAGTATTGTTTTATACATGAAAAGAAACATTTGTATCTTATTTGCTGTACCTTAATGAGAGTTATACCAACAGCTTTCTTGGCTACATGCTTAGTAATTGCATCACAGATTTTATAAATGAACTGGTGGGGAATAACAAAAACCAGCAAATCTGCATCTTTCACAGCTTCATTCAGATTTGAGACTGCGACCTGCAAAAAAATATTTGGGAAAGAAAAAGGGAAAACATGTGTAATCACGTTCAAAGATACTCAATGCACAATTCTTATTTTAAACTACATTTAATTAGTAGAAATACCAAATTCAATTATTAAGGCCAAAAGGAAACAATTTCAAAATAAAAAAAAATACACATACTCAATAAGACTTGTTGATACACTGTATTACAGCAGATGCATTCGGCTGGAACTGGAAAACTGTAGATTTCCAGGATAAATAATTTAATAGCCAAGATGTTAATATCCAATTGCAAATAGAAAGAAATAAGCAAATTGCAAATAGAGAGAAATAAGCAAATTTGGAACATATTTATAACCAAAGCATTCTGGGCTTTTTGCATTAAAAAATGATGTTGTAACTTATGGTTTTGATGATTAGAAAGGTTATAGAAAGAAGGGAATTATGATGTAATCTTAGAGAGAGAGTTTTGATTATAATTGTATGTATAACTGCCGAGAGGAAGATCGGAAGCCATTTCTTTATATTTCATGTTTTCTGTTCTCCTTTTTTCTATCTCCTTTTTTCTTTGTCTTTTTCCTTTTTTTCTCTTTCACATTTACATCTTTTTCTTTCAATGTATTTATTATATATATAAAATCTTTTAATAAAAACTATTCTAAAAAATATAACTAAAGCATTCTAATAAAATTAATGAAAAGACTCCTTCACAGGAATATTTGATTTTTTGTGGTGAATGGCAACTGTTCTTTTGAAATTTAACAAATACGTCAATGAAAACTGTTTTATTTTCTTTGATTTCTGGAAAGATACCTTATTTCTCCCCATATTGTAAAAATAACAAGCCAAGACTGAGATTAAGTGAGGTTATGGGTGGCCAATGTTCATGTAACAGTTTTGGTAGAAGATATTCATGAAAGACCAGACATTTCCAAAACAATTTTCTTACTTTCAGAAATTGTATGCCATGTGATATCAGAGAGAAGGTATTGAGAAATATCAGCCCAAAGCCCACATATATCTGTTCCAATATTTACCACATTTTCTGGTAGTTTATATCCAGGAAGATATTTCACATTCTCATGGTCATTATTTATGATATCTGTAAGTTTCCTTCCATTAATAGTTTCTTCAAAAACCCACATTTTCACTGTAGAAGCAAACTTCTGCAATGTTTTTACATTATTGCCTATTATTTTAGCCACAGCAGACCCCCTGCAAAAATAAAGAAAATAATTATATGCATTATAAAATATGCTAGCTTAAGAATGAGGAAGGAAGGAAGGAAGGAAATATAGTAATCAGATAATGTGTCCAATTACTTCGTATAATTTTCAAATGCGGGGCTATCATAGAAAGAGAAATGTCATGGTTGCAGCCCCTGCAAATTACTCTCTACTAAGCACATGCAGTTTTTTCTGTGGTTAGGAGTACATGGGACTGAATCTGTGTCATGCTTTATTCCCATTAGAATCAGTGTGACAGTTAGTCGTGACCAGCTTTGACCACTGAATTCAGTAGGACTGTTATTTAAAATTGAACATACATCTCTAATTGCATTTCAACCATTCTGAACATTTTTGTCAATTTAAGATTTTGTACATTTGTTTCATTTTAGACATTTTGGATTAATGTTGCAGTTCACAGAATCATAGAACTGTAGAGTTGGAAGAGACCACAAGGTTCATCGAGCCCAATTCTCTGCAAAGTGGAGGAACACCAGTTAGACAGTCCATGTGGCTGTCCAGCTCTTCTTAAAAGGAGGAGAATCTACTTGCTTGAGGTTATAGGAGATGTATGTTTCTTGTCAGTAGAAAGGTATTTCTCTGCAGCCATGAAGCAACATATAAATTTTAGAAAGTCACAAGATAAATGCCCCATCCTATCCTGAATGCATCAGTCTTTTCATACACATCTCCTTTTCATACTTTCTATGTGGAAATCATCACATGGTTTATAGTAGAATTAGAAATGGGAACAGCCTGATAGCCAAGGGAGACTTTTATAGATCACCTCACAATGAACTGAGAATGCAGATCCACCATAGTTTATCACAACTGCCAACAACAATAACAAACATTATCAATGGTAATAGGTAAGTCATTAACATTTTACATTGTAGACTCACCCCTACAAGCTTTTAGTATTTTTCTTTGAATGTTTACTCTTGGGTGTGGCTGACAAAACCCAGATGGCTCAATTATATACTGGGGAGAAATCAAATAGTAATTTCTCTTTCTTCTAGAGATTATTTATTTTGTTAATCCCTTCATAAAAATTTAAACATTATCCTCATTAGGTCTTAATGTTTCAAGCAAGGGCAAATTGCCTGGTGTTTTATAAATAACTTTGATTACAACTCCCATTGGCTCTAATCAGCATGGGTAGTAGCAAGACATTCTATTCCTCTTATTCCAAATTTTATTTATTTAATTACTTTATTATATTTTTATCCCGCCTTTATTATTTTTTATAAGTCACTCAAGGTGGTAAACATATATAATACTCCTTCCTCCTCCTTTTTCCCCCCACAACAACAAGAACCCTGTGAGGTATGTTGGGCTGAGAGAGACTGGCTAGCCCAAAGTCCCCCAGCCAGCTTTCGTGCCTAAGGTGGGACTAGAACTCAGTCTCCTGCTTTATAGCCTGGTGCCTTAACCACTAGACCAAACTGCAGATACCAAAATCCATCTAGACCTCTTCCAGATCAACCCAACAAAATTCTTACAGGCTAGTTTAAAAACGTGTATATTCATCAGAAGAAAGGTGATGAAGCTATTCATTCACTGAGATCATCAGCCTAAATATTCTGGCTGTGAAGGTCAAAACTAGGTCAACTGCTGTCTATTTTTGCATTAGGGAAAGTTACTAGAACAGTTATTAATATTAGTCAGAGGGATATGAAAGATTGGAAAAGAAGTGGAAGAAGATTGCTTTTACTATATTAATACGAATTATAGAAAAGAGAACATATGCCAGCATTTGCTAATAATACTTTATGCATACATTTTGGTCAAACACTTGATTGGATCAACCAATGTTCACAATGTACTATGAAATTACCCCCAGAACTAAACAGACTCTATCTTTAGAATGATATAGTTACACTATTCACCATCCCTGTAAAGTTCTCAGACAGAGAGATACAGTTATTATGTCATGTCATGCTCTTTTTCCACCAGGTTTTCCACAACTTTCATACTCGTGGACAACACTGCTGAGCCCCAGTGCCAGGAAAGCTCCTAAAGCTAATGCACTCTGTACAGACATCTCAAGTGCCATAGTCCATGAGTTTAATTCCTGGTAGAAGGCCTGAACCCACCATAGGATTTAAACCTAACAAATTCCAAATAGAATGAAAATAGGTGTATACTGCCTCCTGGTGGTCAGTAGAACTAAACAAAGTATACCTCTTTGAAAATAAACGATGAGGGGATAAATTTATTTATTAATTAAATTTATATGGCTGCCCATCTCATATACATGACTCTGGGCAGCTAACAATTAAAACAAAACAAAAGCAGAATAAAAGCATAACCAATAATTAAAGACATAAATGACATAATACAGCATAAAATAGCAGCTGAGAATAATCAAAACCCTCACAGTCAATATAACCAAAAACTGGGCTCAGCCGCACTATCAGGGCCCCAGGCTTGAAAGATTTGTCACTATTTCACCTTTCTCTTTGCAGAAAAAGCTCCCCTATTTTTGCTCTATATTCCTGTCCAGTGTTGACTCTTGGCGACTGTCTAGTCTAGGCCCTGCAGTTTTCTTGGCAAGACTTTCAGAAGTGGTTTGCTACTGCCGCCTTCTTCCTAGGGCTGAGAGAGCGACTGGCCCAGGGCCACCCAGCCGGCTTTCTGCCTAAGGCGGGATTAGAACTCCTGGTCTCCTGGTTTCTAGCCTGGTGCCTTAACCACTACACCAAACTGGCTCTTCTATTGCAAAGTAATTTATTGTAATCCATGATTCATTTAACAGCCAACAAAGGGAAACAGAATTGCAAAAGAGCAGATTGTTCCATTTCCTCAACCCCTGCTTCCTAGGGCTGAGAGAGCGACTGGCCCAGGGCCACCCAGCCGGCTTTCTGCCTAAGGCGGGATTAGAACTCCTGGTCTCCTGGTTTCTAGCCTGGTGCCTTAACCACTACACCAAACTGGCTCTTCTATTGCAAAGTAATTTATTGTAATCCATGATTCATTTAACAGCCAACAAAGGGAAACAGAATTGCAAAAGAGCAGATTGTTCCATTTCCTCAACCCCTGCTAATGTTCTGCTAGCCTTATTTCTAGGAACTTCTACAAATAGTAACACAATAGTACATTTTTCTGCAAATGTGCAACTGGACTCACGTAAGCTATGTCCTTTAAGCAGTGAAGTCAGCACTAACAAACCACTGATTATATTTAGCAGTCCGAAAGGTCTCTTGTCAGCTTTTGTTGCAGAAGATATGTCAACAAAGCTAAGACAAGAGTGAATGGAATGTGAAGTTTAAAATACTCCACGTTTAAAATACTCCATAATAGCATCTGCATAGAGATGTCAGAAAGAAAGACTAAAAAGCTTTTTAATTGCTCAATTTACTCAAGTGGAGTGCAGAACTTAATGAGTAAAAAAAGTTACTCTCCTCTTTTTAATAGTACATTAATTAATATGAGGAAATATATCCATTTTCCATGGAAGAAAAACCTAACAAATGCAAAAATGTAGTTTAAGCACATTTTGGAACCCTCTCCTCCAATGACTGGCATTGTGTCTGTGGGTTTCCTCAGCTTCTGGCAAGTCAACTCTGGTGACAAAATGTTTACTTGGGTAGATGGTTAGGAAGACCCAACCCACCTCTTCTTATGTTATCAAATATATAGAAAACCTTTGACAAATACAACCAGTGGAGGCTTAAATAGGTAGACCAAAATTCTGCCCCTTTTTACTATGCCCCTAAAGCACCAAAGGGAAGTCCTCCACTGTCTCTCATTTCCATCTTCACTGAACACAATACAATTTCCCAAACATTTGACTGAACGAAAGAGGCACTTTGTTTTCCAGTATATTAAAACAGTAATCAGGCCCTTAACAAAAAAATGTTTCGAGTTACAATGGTTTTTAATTTTTGAGAAATACAGAAACTAAACTGACAACAAAATCAACTTACAGTACAAAATGACTCAATTTTTCCAATTTCCTCATACATTAGATCAAAACAAACAACTAAATGGGCATTACAGAGATTATCATATTCACCAATCTGATTACAACTTCTCCGACACTGTCTAGAAATATTTGACTGCTTTCCTTTTTTTTTTTTTTTTTTTAAGAGTATAGGGTTTTAGGGTTATTATTTCTATATTCAATTCTTGATGACTCACCAAGACAGATCGAAGGAATCAAAAACATATAGACATAAAGCAGCGTTTCTTAACCTTGGCAACTTTAAGTTGTATGGACTTCAACCCTCAGAATTCCCTAGCCAGCGTGCTGGTTGGGGAATTCTGGGAGTTGAAGTCTACATATCTTAAAGTTGCTAAGGTTGAAAAGCATTCCAAGCTGATTCATTGTTCAGATCTTAAAAAAACTTACCATCCCTTTCAAGAATTTCAAGAGAACTATCATATTTGATATGAGCTTTCTGTATAACATTAAAGATATTTCTCCAATTTTGACTGATATGGCACATAGAGCATTGTTCAAATATTGTTAATGGTCTTAATTGGGGAGTTTTTCCAAACTTAAAATAAATGATTGAACTTGTCTCTTTTGAAATCAGGCTGGAATTTGTGATGAATTTGTCAGCAAAATATATTCAACAGAGATAAGTTCCCCATCAATAACAACATTTTTCAACCTATAAGCTCCTCTATTTATATTTTAGTGAAGTAACTCAATTTTCTTGATTTACATGGCTCAATGGACCATAAGTGAATCACAATTGTTACAGTAGGCTAAAGTGTAATTGGTTAATTTTTTATTCAGTGTCATATGAACCCAACTGTTTAGTCTACATATGGAAGCAACTGAAAAACAGGGATAGACTCATGGTCAAACATACATATTGTCCATATAGATGCCGGTATATGTTCAGGACCCATTCTCATTTTCAGCCAACTATGCAAGAGAGAGTGGAACGAACTGATAAGATACTTTTCTATCCCTTCAAAGAATGGGAAGGAAAGAACAGAAAGTTTTACAGTTCCTAAAATAAGCATTCTTAGCACCACTTTGAATGTTGCTAACGTGAGAGAAAAGATAGAACGGAAGCATTTTGAAGGTTTCTGAAACAAATGTTTGATCCAGTCAATTTAAATATCGCAGATTCTAGACCTGGGAAATGTAGGGATTAATTTAGGTTATTACTCTTGGAAAAAAACGTAAGAGATAAGTGATCTTCCATAATGAACATGCCTCATTTCTAACAGGCATTTTGATGAACATAAGAACAGCCCAGCCGGATCAGGCAAAGGCTCATCTTAGTCCTAAGTCCTTTGTTTCTCACTGGGACCAACCGGAGCTCTCTGCAATGCTTGTGAGACAAAGACACACCTTTCTCCCACCAATGCTTCCTTGCACCTCGTATCTGAAGGGAAGCTGCCCCAACCTGGATCTACACCGAGTCCTCACAAGGGGAACTGTCCTCCACAAATTTATTCAATCCCTTTTTAAAGCTGTCCAAGTTTGTTGCCGTTTGTCTCTTATGTGGCAATGAATTTCACAGGTTCAGTATGTGTTGCGTGAAGAAGTGCTTCCTTTTGTCCAGTTTAACACTCCTTCCAGTCAGCTTCATTAGATGGCTTCTGGCCCCAATGTTTTGAGAAAGGATTTTCTTTCTCCTTGCCATCCATGATTTTTTGCACCTCAATTGCATTTCCCCACAATAACCGTTTTTCCAAACTAAAGAGCTGAAATATTCATGGGGAAAGTGTTCAAGACCCTTGATAACTTTGACTGCCCTCTTTTGTATTTTTTTCCCAAGATCTATTACACTTTCTTCCAAGATCTATTATATCTTTTTCCAAGGGTGGTGACCAGAAGTGTGCAAAGGGCTCCAGATGAAGACACACCATAGGGCATTACAAGCTTGCATTTTTATGTTCACTCTCTTTTCTAATGATTATCAGTGTGGAATTTGCCTCTTTTACAGCCAAATGTAATGGAAGATATTATTATTTGCATATGTGTTTGGTTTTATTCCATTTTTACC